CATCATCATCATAATCAGCGTCATCATCGTCATCGTCATTGTCATCGTCGCCATGATCATCCTCATCTTCGCCATCATCACCATCAGCGCCAGCGTCATCGTCAGCATCATCAGCAGCAACAGCGTCATCGTCATGATCATCATCGTCAGCATCATTATCACCATCCGCAGCATCATCAGCAGCAGCACCATTGTCACCGCCACCAATATGAGCAGCATCCTCCGCATAGTCGCCAGCATCAGCAGCATCATCATCATCATCAGCACCCGCATCATCAGCATCGGCAGCCTTGTCATCATAACCATCAGCAGCAGCAGCCGCAGCAGCAGCACCGTAATCGTCGTTATCATCACCACCATCAGCATTGCCATCGTCATCGGCATCGTGGTCGTGATCATCGTCGGCATCACCAGCATCATCAGCAACGTCAGTCTCATCATGACCATCATCATCCGCATCATCATCATCATCATCACCACCACCATCATCATCATCACCACCCCACATCCACATCCTCATTGTCTTACTCGTTCCCATCGTTTTCTTACCCCACCGTTTCCGCATATCCGCACACTCGCCTTCCTCATTTTCCTCGCCCCCCCCGCCCCCCCCCCCCCCCTCCCTCACGCCCCCATCATCCGCCGTTTCCCCCCTCCCACACAATTCCTTCTCATCGCCTCCCTCTTCCCCTGTCGTCCTCCGCATCCGCCTCCCATCCCGCATCGTCCTCCTCGCGTTCCTCTCCCCGTCTTCAGAGCCACCATCGTTTTCCCACCCGCCCTCTGTGCGTTCATCCTCCCTCCTCCCCCACTTCATCATATTTTTCCTCCTCCCCCTTCTTCTACACCTCCTCCTCCTCCTACTCCTCCTCTTCCTCCCCTTCCGCCTCCCCCTCCTCGTTTTCATGTGCCTTTGCCTCCTCCTATTCCTCCGCTTCCGCCCCCTACGCCTCGTCATCAGCAGCATCATCACCATCACCCGCAGCTTCAGCATAGTCACCAGTACCACCACAACCACCAACAACATCATCATCGTCATCAGCATCAACATCACTACCATCATCGTCAGCACCATCACCATCGTCAGCACTGGCACCAGCACCATCAGCACCATCGCCCCCACCATCATCAGAAGCAGCAGCATCCCCATCACCATCAGAATCACCAGCGTCATCGTCACCATCAGCATCAGCAGCACCATCCTCCGTATCAGTTTCAGCATCCTCTTTAGAAGCACCCTCGTCATCGTCAGCATCACCAGCGTCAGCACTACCATCACCACCACCATCGTCACCAGAATCCTCGTCATCATTCTCGCCAGCATGATCAGCATGAGCATCATCATCGCCATCGGCATCATCATCGCCATCGTCAGCATCAGCATCCGCATCAGCAGCAGCATCAGCAGCACCAGCATCAGCATCATCATCGTCGGCTTCCGCAGCAGCAGCAGCATGATCATCATCGGTGCCACCATCATCATCGGAATTGTCGACACCGCCAACGTCATCACCATCATCATCATCATAAGTGAGCAAGAACCTGGCCATGATTATGTTTACCGTCGCCGCCTGCGTCGCCTTCACGGTCGCCATCGCCACGCGACATCGTCGGTAGCACCATCATCGGCACCATCAGCATAATTGCCGCAGGCAGCAGCAGCAACATCATCATCAGCATCATCACATTCACAATCCTAATCAGCATCAGAGCAAGCATCGCCATCACTAAAGTTATCATCATCGTCACCATGGTTACCGTCATCGCCACATTCGTCATCACCATCATCATCCCCATTATCGGCATCATCATCGCCACCGTCACCCTTGACCGCGATCATGATTATAATTAGGTTAATGATCATCAGCATCGTCGGCGTCGTAGTCACCATCGCCAGCGTCATCGTCATCGCCGGGATCGTCACCACCAGCATCATCATCAGCAGCATCATCAGCACCAGCAGCAGCCACAGCCTCATAATCATCATCATTATCAGCCGTATCATCATCCTCACAATCATCGTAATCGTCGCCCGCATCATCAGCATCAGCATCATCCGAATCATCACCATCATCAACAACCTCAGCATCCACAACCACATCCTCCGACTCGTCCCCATCTTTCTCCTCCTCCTTCTCGTCATATTACCCCGCACGTCCTCATCCTCATCCCCCCTCCCTCACTTCCCCTCATCCGCCTTCTCCCCCCTCCCGCATCCGTCCCTATTCTCCCCCCCCTCCTCCACCCCCCCTCCCCCTCATCCTTCTCCTATCCCTCCTCGTACTCCTCGTGTTCCTCACCCCCTCCTCGGGCCATCATTTTTCCCCCGCCCTCTGCGCGCTCGTCCTCTCTACCCCTCCTCATCCACCTCCCCCTCCTCCTTCTGGTCATCCTTCTCCTCCTCCTCCGCCTCCTTTTCTTCTTCGTCATCATCATCGTCGGCATCATCACCGTCATTGTCAGCATCATCGTCGGCGTCGTCATCACCATCGTCATCGTCGTCACCATCATCCTCACCATCGCCATCGCTCCGCCCCAATTCCTCCAGCCCACCGTCTCCTCCGCCTCCTTCCCCCTCTTCCTCCTCGCTGGAGAGCTGGCTCAGATTCCTTTGTGCGAGTTAGGCCTCTTGATCGTAAAAGTCACTGTCTGCGCAACAGAAGGTGTTCTAGAATGAGGCGGCCCATAAGAAGCGATTCCCCGCACGCCTTCTAGGAGGTGGGGGGTCATTTAAGAAGGTCGCCAACATGATCTTGACCCCCTTTGTCCACCTCCCATCCGAGCTTGGCCTCGAGCAGATTAGACGAGGTGGGCTTAACTCGGGATTCGGGTTGAACGCAGCGTCATGTCCAGTATCGCCGCACCGTGTAGACTCCGCGTTTCGTGGGAGCACTGCTTCATGAGCAGTACGAAGTGTGCTCCTGCACTTTCTTGTGGCTGCCCCTGGCAGAGGGAGAGCGCGAAGTGGCATGTCAAGTCTGCAGCTTGGGCTCTTCCATCGTCGTTATGGACCCTCGTGTTGGGGGAGGGGGGTGGGTCCTTCGTCAGCACCAGTGGACACGGTTAGAGACATTGCTCAGGACGACAGTCGTTGTTTGGGAGTGGTTAGGGGGGGTGTTCTGGGCGCTGGCATAAGCAAAGTACCCATGCATAATCTTTGCGGAGGGAAATATGAACTAGCATTGGGCATGTTCCCCCTTCTATTATGATTGAGTTGTGTTGCCATTCGGGTAGGACCAAATGTCGCCCAACAGGTAGGGCGCAAAGCATACCAAACCAAGCAAAAGCCTGATACTGGTGGAAAAAGCATTGGCGCACGGACCCCACATGGGACGTTCCAAAGAGCGCCTTGTCTTCGAGGATCGAAGGAGTTGTCATCTCTTCCGCCGCAGAACGCGGCGGAAGGGCGACGGAAGGTCGGCGGAAGTAAAACGAGGCCGCCTCCGCCGGCGGAAGGCAGCGGAAGGCAGCGTAAAATAAAAAAGCCTCCAAGAGATGAAAACAGTTTTGGGTTCAGGGTTTCCTAAATCCGCCACATTGATGAAGAGCGTTAATTCTTTTGCAGCGAGGGCCGGGGCCCCACAGGTGGGGCATGATAAACAATTATACCGCAACGGCCAACACACCCACAACGAGCAGAGCCAGGACCTTCGGGGCAGGGCCAGCTACCAACGCAACAGCCGACACCCGAAGCCAGCGATGCCCAGCCCGTATGCCCAGCCCGTGAGCGAAACCTCTGATAGGGGAACGAAGAATGACATGAACATAAAAACTCGGAGGTCCGCGCTGATTTCTCGGATCGGCGCTGGACCCCCCTGACAGTGTCTCTGGCGCCGCCGGTGGCGCTCTCCGCGCGGACCTCCGAGTTTTTATGTTTATGTCATTCTTCGTTGCCCTATTCTGAGCAACCACCGCAATAGACAACACCCATGACACTTCAAAGACTGTACAGACTCGCCCTTCCGGGCGAAGCCTTAGTGGCGAGCCCCTGTGGCGGCCGCATCCTATGGGCAACGAACAACTATGCGGCGCGGCCGCGCTTCCTGGGCGGAACCCGATGCGCAGCCACCACCCAACACCAACGAGCCCCTTGTGCGCGTGCCCTTATGAAAAACCACCACCCAACCTCCGCGACCACCCAATAACCAACGCTCGTGGCCGACCAACTGGCGGGACCCGATGGGCAGGACCCGATTGGCAACCACCAGCGACCATCAGTGAAGACCCTGTGGGGGCAGCCTTACGTCTGGGTCCCCGATGAGCGAGCACCAGGAATCTCCGCCAAAACCTTAAGAGAGGAACTCACTGGGCAAGCACCAACAAGCAACCTTGGCCACCGTTCAATTGCAAATTTTGTTCAAGCTGTTGTGCCTCATCTATGTTGTTCCTCCGCACCGTTTGCCGCGCCGCTAGTGTTCGAAGCTTCACGTGCAGATGGCAAGCAGTTCCAACGTCTCGTAGATACCAACGCTACTTCCAGGTGTACCAGACAAGCGGATTCGTTGATCATTGGAAGTTGTTTCAAGAGCGCAGGTGGTTCGCAACTCTGCCTGATGCCGTCCGCAGCCACGCTACCAACCAACAGATCCATATGTCATCGGGGCGGAGGTTGTCCCTACAGGACGCGCAGGAGTTTGCCACGGAGCACGGAGGAGTTTGCCACAGTCTAGAGTTCGTGAATCATGCGACTCAGTTGGAGTGGGCATGCTCTGAGGGCCACAAATGGAAAGCTAGCCTGACGGTCGTTCGGAAGAGACAGTCGTGGTGTTCGGAGTGCAGTGGAAGTGTCAAAGGGCGTCGCTTGTCCATTAATGATGCACAGGTGGCTGCTGCGGAGCGCGGAGGACACTGTCGTAGCAGGGAGTACGTGAACGCCACGAGACCTCTTTGGTGGAAGTGTTCGCAGGGCCACGTATGGACAGCAAGTCTGAATTCCGTCAGAAACCAGAAAACATGGTGCCCAACATGCGCCAGGGTTCGCAAAGGATTGACGATTCGTGATGCGCAAGCTTTTGCCAAGGCGCACGGCGGACGTTGCCACAGCGAGGAGTATGGAGTGGCCTTCGGCACATCCAGCCACCCGTCCTGAGTCATGGGCCAGAGGCCGCTTGGGGGTCTCTTGGAAGGCCTCTTGGGGCTTTCGGAAGTCTCTTGGAGGCTTCCTGGAGGCCTCTGGGGGGGCGTCATGGGGACTTCTTGAGATCATCTAGGGCCTCCAGGAGGGGGAGGGAAGAGGAGGAGGAGGAGGAGGAGGAGGAGGAGGAGGAGGAGGGAGAGGAGGAGGAGGAGGGAGGAGGAGGGAGGAGGAGGAGAGGGAGGAGGAGGAGGAGGAGGAGGAGGAGGAGGAGGAGGAGGAGGAGGAGGAGAGGAGGAGGAGGAGGGAGGGAGGAGGAGGAGGGAGGAGGAGGAGGAGGAGGAGGAGGAGGAGGAGGAGGAGGAGGAGGAGGAGGAGGAGGGAGGAGGAGGAGGAGGAGGAGGAGGAGGAGGAGCCACCTCGGGGCGGAGGGCCCCTACGGCCCCGTCCCGCTCCCCCATCTGGGGCCTCCTTGCGGGCCTCTTGGGCTCCTTCGGGAATGGGGGCGTCGTGGGGTGCTCTTGGGGGCCTCTTGGGCCGTCTTGGAGACGCTCTCCAGACCGAAAATGGGAGCATGCGAAAACCATGCAGCCAATCATACAAGAGCATGTCGCCGTTCAAGGCTCGAGGGCTTGCAAAATGGCTCAAGAGGCTCCCAATAGCGTCGAGGCGCCAAATAGTCATAGCCCCAGCCCCAGACTCGAGGGGACCTGAGGATGCCCTACGTCGTGCCTCGGGGTACGGTGGTGGTTGTGAGTGTGAGAGCGCCTCTCAAGTGGGAGTGCCCAGCAGGCCACAGATGGACAGCCAGTCTGGACACCGTCAGGCGCAGAAGGCACTGGTGCTTGGAGTGCGTCGGGTCGCCCACTCAGCGACTGACCATTCATGAGGCGACGGCTCTCGCCAGGAAGCGCGGAGGATATTGCCGCAGCGAGGAGTACGTGAACCTCAAGAGCCCTTTGCTTTGGGAGTGTTCGCAAGGACACACATGGAAATCGAGCATGATGAATGTCAAGCACGGGCAGGCGTGGTGCCCTGAATGTGCCAGGTCACGCCAAGGCCCACGGCGCACGATGAGCGATGCGCGACCCCTTCCTGAGAAGCGTCAAGGATGCGGTCTTATCCGGCTGTCTGCGGCAACTTCCGCCGCAGTGCCAACGCAGCACTCTGAGGCGGCGGCTCGAGCACCGCCCAGAAGACCATCGTGGGGGTTCCTTGGGCTCTGGCGGAGCATTTCTGGGACCCTCCTGGGCCGTCCTGGGGCCCTACTGGGCAGTAGTGGTGCCGCCGTGGGCCCCTTTCGGCGGTCAGGGGAGTCTCTTGGCACTGTCGTTGCGGCGTCTTGGGCCATCTTGGGAGCCGCTGGGCCTGTCTCGGGCCCCTCTGGGGCCGTCTTGGGGCCCCCATGGGCTGTCCTGGGCCGTCTTGGAGGCATCGTGGGGCCATCTTGGGGCCTTCGGGGCCTCGTCCTCGGCTCCTCCGAGGCCATATTGGTGGAACCATCTTGCGCACGGAGGCGTCGGGAAGTCAAGAAAAGGCGATGGGAAATCCTAAGCTTCTGAATTGGCCTGGCTTCTTGGGTGAACTCCTGATCGTCTCTTTACTGTGTGTCTTGGCCTCCTCTTGGGAACCTGTCGCGCCTCTCGGCGTCTTCGTGGGCGCTGTTCGGCGTGTCTTGAAGCAATGTTGGGCCGCCCCAGCGGCCTTGGTGGCATTCCTGGGCCGTCTGGGGGGGGGGCCTCAGCAAGCAGTGGATGGCCAATAAATAAGCGCTGGGCCGCCCAGGGACCCTCGGGAGGGGAGGGTGCACGCGCCGCTCTGCTATCCGGGGAGCGGGGCCGTAGAGGATTGACAGAAGCCTGCTCCGACAGCACTCGGCGTTCGACCCCGCGCCTCAGCGTTTCCCAGACGGCACGGTGGCGGACCGAGGGGCAACTTGGCGTCAGGGGCCCTCTGTGGCTGGAGGGCTCGAGAGGCTTCAAGTGGAAGAAGATGTGCAGCGAGCAAGCGCGACATGCAGACTGGCCCGGATCATCCAGACCAGGATCAGCTCCTCCGGACGCCCAGTCTTCTCACGAGCAGTGCGCACGGGATTGCCCGAGCCAGAGGTCAATCGGCAACGCGCCGTCTCGCTCCTGTGAGCCTCCGTTGAGCCCCAGACAGGCGTTCGGCCTGCACAACATTACGAACAACGAATCGAGGTCGGTCGGGCGCACGTCACGCGCAGACACCAGAGGCGATTGCGCACGCAATGGAGTCTTGTCGCTGGCAGAGAAGCCGTGTGGTGGAAGGGCGTGGGTATGCACGGAAAAAGGGTTTGCGCAGCCATCAGTTTGTACACACAGAGGCCTTCTTTATTCGAGAGGCGCACGCCATTCCACCGACCCCCGAAAGGTAGATGGGGTGCATGGAATCCGGGCTGCACGGGTTGCCCGAGCAGGGCCATGCGCAGGAGACCACCGAAGCGCGATGTGATGCCGAGGAGTGGCAGGGAGGCAAAGGGGGAGAGTGGCCAGGATGTCTGGGACTCCGTGTTTGCGGGTACTCTCTTGGGGGGGCATATGTTGGGGGCATGGTGTAGTATGTTGGGTCTGGCTCTGGACTCCCAGGAGAAAGAGTATGTGCAGGCGAAGAGGGAAGAGTAGATACCCATGTGCTTGCGGCCAGTCCGCCTCCGTGCAGCGCAGCACCCTCTGCGGCGACGATTCGAGCACCGCCCAGAAGGCCGTCACATGTGACACCTCGCGTATGCACTTCTTGAGGAGCTTTCATGGGGACCAATCTGGCAGTTATGAGTTTGCCTTGGGCTTCTGTGTGGGCGCCTTGGGTGGTCACTCGGGGCCCTCTTGGGCCATCTTAGGGCCCTCTTAGGCTGCAGTAGGGGCCATACCGAGACCTCTTGGGGCTCTCTTGGCCCTCTCAGGCCGTCTTGGGTCGGCCCTCTTGTGCCAGCTTGGGACCACGTTGAGGCCGCCCCGGGCTGAGTAGGGGCCCTCTTGAGGCCCCCAGTGGGCACCTCTGGGTCTTCCAAAAACTAGCATGTGGACCCACGTTCGACCGAAGAGCGTTGCAAGCGAAACGTGTTGAAGCCCCTCAGCCTCTCGAGGGCATCCTGGACACCGCCTTGGGGCGGTCTTGGGGCCTGCCAGAGGGCTCGGCATGTGCTGGGCACTTCTTGGGGGCTCGTGGGTGCGTACGCGGGCACTACTGGGCCATCTCAGCGGCCCTGATAGCCACCACGGGCCGTTTTGGGAGCCTTCGACAGCTCTGGAGAGCCCCAAGGAAGCGTCGGGCCGCTCAGGGAAGCTCGGGAGGGGGAATGCACGCAGCCGGGCATGAGGGAGAGGGAGCGCTCCCTTCGAGGAGTTGCGGCGGCCCCACCGGGCAGCACACTTGGCATGCGGCCGCGCCTCAGCGTGCCAGGGGGGCACGGTGGCGGGTGAGAAGGAGGAGGAGGAGGAGGAGGAGGAGGAGGGGGGGAGTGGACAGCCGTAGCGCAGTGGAGACCCATGCCAAGAAGCACCCTGCTTGCCTCCAGGGTGCCCTGTGTTTCTTGGGTTTCGATGGTTCTGCCATGGAAAGCGTGACGTGCCCACACCAAAAATCAGTGGACGCCCTGGGGTCTCAGGGTTGGGATCATTGTGGAAGGTTTCCTGTGGTCGAGACCCTATTGTAGGAGAAATAGAGGCGAGGGGCGGTGAGAACATGGGCCTCGAATCGCCAGCCTCGTTATAAAAATCAGGCATTGTCAGCGGTAGGAGATGGCAAGTAGTGCGCCCCCAAAGCGGGAGTCACGGCGGCCCACAAGAAGGTAACCAGCACGCAAATCGTGCAATCATTTGAGTGTTGTGGGGCATCACCTTGACACGTGTGTGACCGAACCTTTGGGCTTGTCTTGTGGCCCTCGTGGGGCCGTGTAGGGTCTTTGAGGGGCCATCTTGGGGATCTCTTGGGGCTTCTTGGGGTCATTTTGGCGTCACTTCGGGGGTCTGAGGGCTGTATTAGGGCAATATTCGGCCGTCTTGGAAGCCGGCCGGGGGGCTAGGAGCTCTCTTGCTGCCATTTGAAACCATTTGGCAGACAGATTGGGTTGTGTGGGAGCCTTCTGGCCTTCGTTGACCTTCTCGGAGGCTCTGAAGCGATGCAGTGATATGGCGAAAACCATTGAAACGATAATAGAGTGTCATGCTTCGAGGTGTTTGAGCTCCCTCTTGGGACTGTTTCGGTTTTCTGAAGGCTCCTCAGGGCCTCTTGGGTCATTGTTGAATTGTGTTGGGCGTGTTGGCCCCCTTCCGAAGCCCTTGGGGGTGTCGTAGAGTGGATGTGGATGCTCAGAGGGCCCGGAGTGTGCCGCAAGGAGCTCATAGCTCCTACCACCCGCCTCTAACGGGTGTTCGAAACCCCCAGGGGGGAAGAATTGGTAGCAGCTATTGTACTTACCCCTCTGTCATGGCAACCGCGCTATCCTTCAGAAACATGGAAGCCACCCATACGTTTCACACGGTTTTCCCAACCCTGGCAAGCGGGGTCGGCAGATTTCACGGGCCTTTTTCAGGAACGCGGGCGTTCGGTATTCAGTTCTGGCTTGGTTCATGTTGGTAGGGAAGTCCCTCGTTGGGTGCTCGACATGGTGTCGACTGTCATTGATGTCGCACGGCCAGACTTGAATGGGGATACCAAAGTTGCCGAACACTTGGCGGCGACGGTCGCGCGATTCATCTCAGGCGGGCGGCAGTCTTACGTTTCCCTCGGATGTTCACACGCCCTGGGGGTGGTGCACGTAGACAGCGTCCATGTCGCAGAGGCCGTTGGACACGCTGCCATTCGCTCCTGGACGCGCGGCGGCGAGTTGCAAGTAAAACCGTGGGCTGGCCACTACGAGACATACTCTCTACTCTCTGATGCGGATTGGGACGGCGGGGCGATGGACTCGGCTTTGCATGAAGCGTATGACCATTGGAGGCGGTCGGTCGGAAGGTTCGTGCTCCAGGACTACGGGCAATTTTGGATACCCGCTCGAACTCAATTTGAGTGGGCAGCCATCGCAGGATTGCCAGTGGCTAAGGTCACGCATAGTGGTCGTCCCCAGTGTCATCCATAGCATGACGCCCTGCCTGTTCGAGATTGTGTTCTCATGCGCATGCAGGTCGGATCCGTTGCCGCTCTGTGAGGCCCTTGCGGTTGTTGGTAATCGTTGAATTGGCCGTGAGGGCAGTTTGCAGCAGAGCTAAAATCAAATATCTCCGACGTTGTTCGGGGAGGTGGTTTACAATCAGCAGCATTTCGATGGGGGTCGAGGTGCCAGCCAGCTTGCTGAGAGGAAGGCACCTGCAGGCCCACACGGTGAGCAGGACCACACGGACGGGGCCATGTGGGCAGTCACCACCGAATGCTTGCGGCCACGTTATTGGCACTCTCTGGACGGGGCCCACTGTGCGGGACGCTGTGATGAGCAACCACCAACGAGACGTCGCGACCACCCAGTAGGTTTGCAACCGCCAACCAACATCCGCGAGCACCGTATGGGAGAGCCTCCATGGGAGGATTTGCGGGTGGAACTGTCCCATTGGCGACACCCTACGGGCAGGATTTGGTGGTAACGGTCAGCACGCGGGACAATCTAGGCCGCGAGACTGGTGGTTGCCGCAGCAGCCAACACCCAGGGCAGTAAAGGCCAAAATTCTTGACGCTTCGCGTATCCCTACCAGCCCATCCGGAAACAATTGTTGGGGGAGCTGCTCGAAGCAAGGCAGTGTAGAAGCATGCTGTGAAACGGTTGCCTTGGAAGCGCGTAGGGGGCCGCGGAAGCGGCGGGCTCATGTGTTGAATCGCTGAACATATGTTCCCAAGCCACCCCGACTTTCGTGTGTTCTTCTGGGATGGGTGCTTTGAGTTAGCTTGCATGTTCTCTGGCTGAATGGATTATTGGGCACTTTGATGGTTGTTGCTGCATCCAAGATCGGTAGGAGCGATTGCCAGGCTAGCTGCCCGAACCAGGGAATTGTAGACGCATGCAGTAAAAAAGTTGTCTTGAAAGTGTGCGGGGACCGCAGAAGCGGCGGGAATATGTATTGAGTGTGTTAACACATGTTCCCGTGAGCCCCGGTTAGTTTTGACGATGATGGGATGCATTCGTGGAGTTATCTTGGAGTCCTCTCCGCCCTACAAGATTACTGGAATATCGACGTTTACTTCATCCAGGACCGATAGAAACAATTGCCAGGCGGGCCGCCCGACTGGCCGACTGGGGGAAGCGTTGAAGCACGCAGCAGAACGGCCGCCGTGGGAGCGTGTCGGGGCCGCAGAAGCGGCGGGGCCATGTGCTGAATGGCTGAGCAACGGCTCCCCCCCACTTACCACGGCGGTTTCACGAGGGTCTTGCGGGAGCCCCTGCGGAGGTATTTTGGGACCGTCTCCGCCCGGAAGGCTCGGCGCGTGGAACCCCGAGTGTCGGCCAGAAGAATTGTCCACACGAGTTGTCTTACGAGCCTTCTGAACACCTCCCAGGACCATCTCGGGTGTAGAAGGAGCAGGAGAAGAGGAGGAGGGTGGCAGAGAGAAGTAGAAGAAGGGGGTGGAGGAGGAGGAGTAATGCGGCACGAAAAGGATGAGGAGGAGGAGGAGGGAGGAGGAGGGAGGAGGCAGGATGGGAGGAAGGACGGAACGAGCCATGACAAGGAGGATGATAAGTCGAGTTTCGGGGATATGCCACCTTGGACCCCTCTTGAGGTCCCCATGGGGCCTCTTGGGGCACTGCTAGGGCTCTTGTGGGGGGTCTTGATGCCCTCTTGAGGCCCTTTTTGGGGAGGGCCTGGGAGGCCTCTTGGGATAGTGCTGGCCCTCATGGCTCAAAAGGAAGGGTGTCCTCAATTCAGGCCCCCACCGTCGGAGGCTCGAAAATAACATCTTGGGACCCTCTTGGCGCGCTTGTGGCGCATTCTTGGGCGCTCTTGGGTCCGTCTTGGGGCCATCTTGAGGCTTCCGAGGACAATCGGAGGCCAAAAGGCGAGAATGCACAACATATTGATTGCTGTCAGGTTTTGGAAGCAGTTTAGCCTCCTGGAGAGGTCCTTGGAGGACTCGGCGTGCACCTGGAACCGTCTTGAGGCCTCTTCGAGGTACATCTGAGGCTATCTTGACCCCATCTTCCAGCATCGTGGGACAATATGGAGACAGCCCTACTCCGACAAATGAACAAGTTCAACGATACATTCAAGGCCAAATACAGGACTTCCCCTTGCTCAGCCCGCCCCCAACGGAGCGAGACGCGGCGGAGCACGGCTGCCCACTGGAGTTTAGAAAAATGCCGCATCCTGCCTGCCCGCCGTCCGGGGGGGGTCCTCCGGGCCCGCCGCCGCCCGCTGCTCTCTTCTCCCGCGGAGCCACCCCTCCGCGACGGAGGTGATCCTGAAATGCAGTCAACCCGCACAGTCAGGATGGGCAACCTTCCCAAGGGTACCCCTGCATCCGTGCCCCTTCGGCCCAGTCTTAGCGACTCCCGCTGGCCAGCCCCGTTCGAAAAACGTCAACATGGGCCTCCACGCCCCTTGCATCCTTACCGCGCACCATTACTGTACGGGTTGACTGTAGTCACACACAGCTTTCTGCAATCTCAGGCGCAACCCGCAGCCACCTCTCGCGAACCGGCGTGCGCTCTGTGGGGCATAGAGAAACACACCACGGTGCCGGCCGTCTGCTCTTTGTCGGGCACCCACCCCGTCGCGAGCCGGCGCGTGCTTCGGGAATACAGTCAACCCGCACAGTTAGGATGGGCAACCCTTGGGTACCCTTGCATCCTCGCCTCCGCGGTCCATCCCTCGCCACTCTCGCTGGCCGCGCCCCGCTCGAGAAGCTTCGAAATGGGCGTCCAAGGCCCTTGCATGCTTGTCGCGCATCCTTATGATGCGGGCCGACTGTGGGCCCCGAGGTGCCAGCCGTCTGACTTCTCCATGGGCAGCCCACTCTGGGCCAAAGGCGCTCTGGGAAGGGTCGACTCGATGCCCCTAAACGATAGCCTTCGTTGAGCGACGGACATGGGGAAGGGTCCGAATGAAAATCCGATGGGTATTGTAATTATCTATATTGGACGGTCTCTTTGAGGTGGGCTTCGCGAGGCGATGGATGGTCGTGCAGAAATTGCTTTTGTTTTTCAAAATTTGATGGAGAGAGGGGGGCGGAACCAGCATATGGAGCAGATTCTGCATCAGCGTCAGCAACAGCAGCCGCAGTTGTCCTCCTACAGTCAAGACGCTGAAACAATGATAACTTCGAGCTCAGGAGGGGCTCTGGTTTTCTGGCCGTTCCTTAGATCCAGGTCTGGAGGGAGCTGTTCGTGGCCGAGGCTCGCCGTGGCCAGACAAGCCCCTTCGTTTCCTGTTTGGTGTTCCTTATTTTAGCACGATGACTACATGTCCCTGTAAACTTCCTGGTCAGCGCGGCGGCCTGCTCGGCAGCGGCGGCAGCATGCTGTGGCAGCAGCACGGGCAGCTGCAGCGGCGGCGGCAGCGGCTCCAGCGGCAGCAGCAGCACCTCCTGCGGCAGTGGCAGCACCTGCTGCGGCAGCGGCGTCGGCACGAGCAGCAGCATCTGCGGCGGCAGCAGCACGAGCAGCACAAGCAGCGGCATCAGCGGCGGCTGCGGTGACCGCCGCCCCCTCCCGGCGGCAGCGGCCGGGGCAGGCGCCTCCAGCCGCCTCAGATCCCCCGGGCAGCCGTCCTCCGTCTCCGCGGGCAGCACCGTCGCGGATTGCCGGCCCCCCGCGGGGGGGGATCAAATATGCATAGAGCCTGCGCAGGCAGAAGCCTTCGGAGGTCCCACGCGGGGCACGAGGGCGCGAAGGCACCCGCGGGGCGCGAGGAGCAGCGAGGGTTCTCTCCCAGACGCTGCTGTGCGCGGCTGGCCTCCCGCCGCGGTGCCCAGCGACCCACCCTCGGTGTGCACAGGGGTCGTGGGTGCGCGCACCATGCCCCGAGGCGCGCACGGGGAGGTCAGCAGAGCCCCTCTGTGGAGGCAGCCTCGCGCCCGCTTTTGCCCGGCAGCGCCCGGCCCGGGTTCGACGGGTCGAGGTGCGAGATGCTTGGACGCTGGCGGCGCTTGCTGCGCCTCCAGGAGGCTCTGCGTCGCCGCGGCTGGATCCGCCCCGAACTCCTGACCACCATGCTCCCTTTGACAGGCCCAGGGGTGGACTTTGGGTCCCCGAGCCCTAACCACCAGCGGCCCCACGGTAGGTTCGCTCCGCGTCGGCGCGGGGGCCTGTAGCGGCCGAGTAACACCCATTCGGGAAGAAGAATTAAGCATGCAGCTATACAACAAGCATCATTGCACATTCGCGTGGTCGCAGCAGTTTGGCACTTTTCCTCGACTGTTCCCACAGGTACGATTCGTATTCTTATGTTTCTAATAGCAAACGAACCCGAGGCCTTACCAGTGCCTTTTTACCGTTCATGTTTCAGCAAGCACGAAGGTGCCTGGTAATCCCAGTAGTAGCAGTCGTAGCAGCAGCAGTGGTGGCAATAGTGCTCGCACTAGCGGCGGCAGCCGCAAGACGTAGCATGTATCATCTGCACACGATGAAAACGTAGACCTGTGATGCGCTCTGTGGCAGCAGGGGCACTCGCAGCAGCAGCATCACCAGAAGCAGTCGCGGCAGCCGCAGCAGCAGCAGCAGTGCCAGTGCAGCAGCGGTGCGGCAGCAGCATCGCCAGCATTAGGAGAGCGGCCCGCCCCAGCCCCCCCGCGGCCCGGGAGGACTCCGAAGAGTCCGAGGAGGAGCCACTGCCGAGCAGGCACGGCTCGGGCGTCTTCGATTTGTCCGCCTGCACCCGGCAGGCGAGCCACCCGCGCGCTCTCGCGCTGCCGAGTTCGCAGTCGTCGTCGTCGTCGCTGGTTTCGTCGTCGTTGTCGATTTCGCCGACGGCCGTCGTCGC